GTTGTTAAACCTGTTTTAGGTATTTTAATGTAAGTAATTATGTAGCTTTTTTCCTCTACGGTTATTTTGTATGTTATTCTGTATGTGAACAAATAAAAATTTAAAAAAAAAAAAAGAGAGACATGACAGAAGCCACGGATATTCTGTAAAAGACAGTCTGTTAAAGTTCAATAGGAGATTAAGTATTTACTTTTTACATTTCGATATGCCTGAGTTTTAGTTTTCTAAGTGCGGGACTCTTTGTCAGGAGTGATCACATGCAATTGATTTATCAGTCGCATCCTTTAGCGTGTTAAGTTCATCTCTAACGGCCTAATAACAAATGACATTCACTTTACGCTTCTTGTTTTTAAGGTAATATAATGGCCTAGGGTGCTGCTACGTGCGCCCTGAAACAACTTCCTACTCGCCTATCTATCACCATCCAGGGCGCGCAATACACATTCCTGCTTATCAAGAGATTACAAGTGTAGTGGCAGTTACAATTGCTGTCAGACTAACGTCAGGAAACTTTATCGAAGACGTGTATAACCAGAGCAGCATAGCAGTGATTAAATTACGACGCAATCACTGTCTTTTCTTCGAGTGTTTCCATATTTGCCTTTATCCCTGTCAGATGGTTGTGTGGGGTGAAATTTCATCCTTTCTCGACTCACTCCTGGCAAAAGGAAAAGAAACATTCTGAAAAAACCGCAAGTGTCATTAAAAGTGGAAAAAAACTCCTTGGTCAGGAGAAGGTCAGTCCAAAAAGCTTACTTTTTTGTCTTCGCCTATAGCAAACAAAACATTCAGCTTTTCCGTCCACTCACCGAAGTTTCAGCCTCTGAAGTGCCCGTTATCCAGAAGAAATTCGTCTCGAAAGAAGCGACTTCAAAGGCCGCTATTTTGAAACTGTTTTGGCAGTCAGTCCGTGTTTAAGTGACGTCATTCCCTCCGACTCGAAATTGGCGGGAAGGAAAAAAACCTGCAACTGACCTTGCATCCTTCACAAGGTCAGCAAAATGTATTTTTTCCAAACGAAAATCTTCAATGCTATCGTTTCGGAGTTTGGAGCATGTTTGGCTCAAAATAATATGGCTCAAGAACAGCCATAACCCAGAGTGGTAGTTAAAAGGCTTGTCGGAAGCTATTTGAAAAAAATCTCTTGGACGGAATGACGTCACGAAACGCGGCCTGGCTGCTGAGTACTGTTCAAAATGGCGGCAACGATGTCGAATTTTTGACTTTTTGAAGACGAATTTCATAAGGAAAACCTGCACTTCAGACGCTGAAACTTCGGTTAGTGACTAAACGTAGTGCAAGGGTTTTATTAGCGTTGACAAAAAAAAAAAAAAAAATTATACGCTTTTTGGAGTGACCTTCTCCTTTAAGATGTAATTCATTTAAGAAATAGAAAACATGTACTGTGTGTCTATCGAGTTATTGAAACACGAGTGGAAATTTGGGAGAACGAGAAATGCTGTGGGAACACGAGTCGACAGGCGAGTGTTTCCACAGCACCCTTGGACCTTGAAGGGTAGCAGATAGCAGGCCCCGGTTACTTTTTAGCTTTCGACGCTGGTGTACTCAGTCGTAAATCGTTTACTAAATATTTTATTTTGTTCGGCAAACTAGTAACAGAAAACAAAAGACAAATACTAGAAATGGTGAACGCTCTTCGCGTGGAAAGGGTGACACTATTGGTCTAATTCGCTTTTTTCGTGTGCCGCAGTAAGGTATAACTTGAAAGTGAATTTTTATTCTTTGGTTTGCGATTTCTATTTTGGATGAGAAAGAGCCTCACTCTATTATCCCTTACCAGGGATCTATTCCGACGCTTATGAGCTCAAAAAATAAAATATTGGTAACATTTAATTGATGATTACTGACTAGATATCGTGTTTTTTTTTTCAAGCAAAATTTTTACTTACCTATCGTAATTATGAATCCATCACTTCCTGAAAAAATACGACAAATGTAAAGTTTTGTTCTACAGCAAAAAAAAAATGTCACTACAACTGATCATTACATTCTTTAAAATGTTTCCGGGGGAGGTAGGGATCGTGAGCAGCATTTTCCCAAGCCAGCCAGTAGTGCAAATCCAGTGTCAATCAAACCGTTCCCAAGAAAGCTGCTTGGGTGCTACTGCGCACACTCAGTTGCCCCGTACCGCCGTCATTCGACCAAGTCCTCTTTGATTCAGAGCCATTTTGTGGGGACCATATCTGCTTTTTTTCAGTAAGCGCGGCTTTAGTAAGATTGTCGTAAGGCGGACGAGTGAAATATTGATACTAGTTATTCGTTGCAGTACTGAGTTACAGTGAAATGGATACTGGCAGGATCACCAAAAAAACAAAACAACAGCAACGTCAAAACATAACTTCGATACACATTTTGGCATTATTCTGAAATAACTTCAGTAACTAAGCAGTGTTGCACTGTAGGTCCATTTGTAGCCTGCAAGCAGGCTCACGCTGTGGAGCACAAGCCCGCACGAAATTGAGCCGCGAGACGAGAAAGTGAGCCTGCCCTGATCTCAGCAAATTTTTCATTTCCACCCCGAGAACCGCAGAAAAAATAAGGCAATTAATTTTTCCTGGAAGTATGAACTTTGGCAGCTCAGATTTCTCGGAAAAATTGTAATCTTTTCCATAACAGCATGCAAAGCGATATCCGTTGTTGATAAAGTTTTGCCGTAGAAAAACCGTCAAAGTTAATGTTTAGCAAGGACACACACTTGATTCCAAGTGATTTTGCTTTGTCAGTTTGGTCTTTGATGATGCTAGTAAACGGGCAAACGCCTTTGTGTTGTTTCGTTGCCTGCTCGGCAATCACATACGTTTGTAACATTTATAACTCTTCCCTTATGCAGTCGGCAACACAGCAAGTATGTCTTGATTTATTAACATACTTTCAACTGCTATTTTCTTCTCCCTGTTTAGTCTGAAATTTAACCAGAAATAGACTGGAACTTTGTTAAAACATCAGTAATACGCACACCCAACTCTTCCTCTGACTCTAAATGTGGACGACTTATTGTTTATTGTGAGAGTATCGGTAAATTAACGACTCCATGGGAATCTAATCGCTCCTCATCAAACATAATAGACTGACAGATTTCTCGCCTTTCCCACTTTTTGACCAATGGTATTTCACTTCACTCAGGTGACGCAAAAAAATTACAGAGATCAAGGCAGGCTCACTTTCTTGGCGCCTCTTCACCAGTAGGCCTAGACAGATTCTGCTCGGCAACTTTTGGGCAACTTTTACGATTTTGAGCAGCTTTTTCGATTCTAAGCAACTTTTCGGCGAGTGAGCAACTTAACAGCATCTTTTCTGAAAGCTAACATATTTTTGGCATATTTTCACTATTTCGAAATCAAATTCATAAGTAATTGATATTTTATGACGTTTTCTTTGGAAATTCAAGAGAATTTCACTAGAAAATCTCTTGCGTTTTTGTCGGTATCCTGTGTTGATAGATTCCAAATATGGATATGCCGGATGTGACTCCATTTCCAGAATGGGTATCCTGTGTTAATATTCCAAATATGGTACAACTAGCTCGAAATGGAGGACTGCAAGGCGTTTTCTTCTGACAATGAAGAATCCGATGAAGAACAGCATCAAAGAGATCCAATCCAGGCTACGATTGAAAATGGTGCACAGCTTTCGAAGCCTGAAAGGGCTTCCATCGCCCGAAAGCGGGGTTGCCAGAGAAAGCACTAGGATGAGTTCAGAGCCGAGTTATTGCTTGGTCTTCAAGAAACTGTAACTGAAGTGAAACTACTCGTTTTGTTGTCGTACAGAAACAGAGCCGGCTTGCTGCTCTTCGATTTCAGCAAGCACCCAAAAAAATTTTTGGAGCAACTTTTGAGCAACTTTTGGGGATATTTTTGAGCAACTTTTTAACATTTTTTTGAGCAGAATCTGTCTAGGCCTATTCACTGGACTCCTTCCCGCTGGATCGCTTTGCTCTTCGCCGCTCGTGCGTGTGACTCATTTGTGAGACTACTCGCAGGCTAGTCCATTTGCTGTTATTCAACTTATTAGTCTAGATTACTGTCAGCCGCTTTTTCGGGAAAGGAGCCAGCGCTCACTTGGACCCGATTGTGCGGCGGAAATCGAGCATTTTAAAATGCGTTTTTGCGATTTATTCGAAAACAAACAAAAGAATTTGCTTTATGTCAGTTTCGTTTCGGTGCCATAGACAATATTTCAGGTTGTTCAACATGGAATGTACAATGTCTTACCATTGTTAATCTTACCTTTTTCAATGTCTAAGTCGTCAGTGATGTCTGAATTAGCGTCGTCTTCTCTGTCTTCTCTCTTTGTTGTATGTTCCATTGCAATCCCTTTGGACAGCAATTTTACTCAACAGTTTTCGATTTCAACCTGTGCTGTTTTTGCTTCCTCTCATTTCTTTGCAGAGCTCATAAACAAACAAACAATGAAACAACCATAAAAGGATGCAAGCTTGACCGGACCGGTCGAGTGGACATAAGAAAGTTCTTTATATTATACGGTAACATGATGACCACGAGACGTCTGTTGATTGATGATAAGCTTCTAAGAAAGGCCAAGTGTGTCGCATCACATACAGTGAAACCTGTATTAAGCGGACACCCATGGGACCCTCACTTGGGCCACTTGTGTCCGCTTGATACAGGGTTAATAGTGGTTCCTTAGAGGAAGTGAAGTGCTGCCCCGTGTGGAAAGATAGTGGGGGTGAGACGTGAAGATATCACATAGTGTTGGAGATCGTTGGAAAAATATAGTGAATTAATGTCGTAGAAAAAAGCAAGTTTGAAATTGAATTCTATTGTATTTTTTATTTAAGCCTTGTTTTCTTTCTTAAGGTATGAGTTTCTACAGCTTCGCCCTCGCTTATTTTTTCAAAGGATTAGTATCTAGCAGACCCAAATGGAGAAGGGTAATATTTAAATCGAACGATATATTTTTACTGGTACATTTGATTTTTTTTTTTACTCTTTGTAGATTTGTACTACTTACAATAAATTCTGATAAAAAAAAATTGACAATACTATAATTCTTCTTCTTCTGATAAACAGCTATCGAAACGTGATAGATATTTTAGTTGAAACAATCATGTAACATGAATAGTAACAAACTGTATATTGACAGAAAATAACATTGTAGACGTCTATTACTTGCAATTAATGCTGACGAAATAATTATTATTCTTTTTAAACTGCTATCAAAACGTGATAGACATTTGGTTTTTTCAAAAACGGTAAGTTACTCAGTAGCTTGTCATGTCAGGTGTAAATTTAAGTATTATCATTCCGTTTGTTTGCCCCGGTAGGTAATTTGCTTGTTTCATTCGCCTCGTTGGGCAAATTAGAATTCAGTTTGTTCGCTTCGCAGGGCAATTCACTTGTTTTATTCGTCTAGTTTGGCAAATTAGAATTCAGTTTGTTCACCTCGCTGGGCAATTCACTTGTATTCGCCTCGTTGGGCAAATTATAATTCAGTCTACATACCTCGCTGGGCAATACTCATGGAACAACAGCGCGCGGTGAGACTCATGAAAGAATATCGTCTTCCCCTCAGTTCAACAGTAAAGCATTCGCTACCCTCAGGAATATTTCCCCAAATACTTAAATTTAAACCTGACATGACCACCTACTGAGTAACTTACCGTTTTAGTAAAAAGCTTCCTTTTGCACCAAGAGATGACAAATGTACAACTGAAGGCACTCAACGAACGCGATGAATGTACAAGGTACGAACGACCAAATTTTCGCAGACGTTCTACGCAGTGGGGCCTGGGAACTGCTAACAAACAGATAACCCAGGCTGCCCTATGCTCATAGCACAATGTCCAGTCAGTCAATGCATCAATCTGGAATAATCTACTTAGCTTTAAAACGACATCACTGAACAATGTTAAAGGAGTCCGAGCTAAGCTTTCAGAAGTAAAAAGCCCTTGAAGTGTCCGCTTATTACAGGTTTTGTGCAACAAAATGGCTTAATATTGGTGTCCACGTCCGACTAACCAAGGTGTCCGCTGAATGCAGGTTTATTTTACAGTAAATGTAGGAAGAGAATTTTGGGACACAAGCTGGTGTCCACTTAATAGAGGGTGTCCGCGTAATATGGGGTCCGCTTAATACGGATTTCACTGTAACTCTGAATAATCAGCCGAATCATCTGCTAACTATCTCCACTCTAACTGTTTGTAAGCTCATCACTTATTGACCTAAACGTCTTTAGTGATTCTCATTTTGTATGTGAATAACATAATAGTATTATTTGGGAAGGATTCTTCTTGTTTTTCTTCACAGAAATACAAGCGAAAAACGACGAAAAGTTTTCATGGACTTTTTTATTTTACTTAACTTTCCAGTGCAAAGTTCTTTGTCAGTAGCCGGATCACACATGCTGCTGAATTTTTCAGCTAATCTTCAATTTAACCTATTGAACAAAAAACAGATTCTTTCACGTTTCGTCTTGTTCTATAATGAGCATAATGACTTATGACCCTACCTGAGCTGTGTCACACAATCAGTTTTCCACTTGTCTTTTTCCTTCTCAAAGCGTGTCATATACACCATATACACTATACTACTTATCAGAATTTTGTCACGAGTTCTTATTAAGAGAAGGTTTACTCTACGAAATTTGATAACAGTTGAGATTTCTTTTAGACTTATAGTACTGGTATATTACTGAAGTTCTTGTGGAACGTTTTGAGCGAAGAAGAAAAGGCACAAAATGACCAAAGCAACCCAGTTATGATTCAAGACAGTATAACACATTCACTATTTCTACCTCCGTCAAACTTGAAGTCTGAGAGTCAGACTAGAATTCAAATTGATAAGCCCTATACAGAACTAAGTTAATTTTGTTGAAAGTTCACTGGGTCTCGGTAAAACCATAACTTGTAAAACATAACCTGTAAAATGTGGACACGCCCATAACACGGACAACAGGCACTAAATAACACAGTGGTAGATAGCAACATTTATATAAACTCTACTTCTTTATTCATGAAATCACATAGCAAACATTTCCTGTTTGTTTACATATTTTACCTTATATTAAATATAGTCAAGTTAATAGTTTCTCCACTAAATTATGCAGTGTCTTTTTCTTTTTCTCTGTTTTTTTTAATTGACCTAATCTATTTACATGTAGGTTATTCTTCATGAAAAAAGTCAAACTATTTGCGTTTGGCCAATTTCTGAAAAACACCACTTATGATCAGAACTCATTTGAAATGACGTTATACTAAGAGACGATGAAGATGACAGCAAGGGTAAGAGAGATAATCCCCCAGTTTGAGGGGTTAACTAATCGCATCAACTCGTAAGTCTTCTTTTAGATCACGCCCGGTTTTGGAAATCTCAAGGGAGTCTAGGAAATAGCCAATCCAGTGACGCAGATTTTTCTCGCGTGACATGCCGTGGCAGCTCCACCCAAACTTACCTCCACCACGTTAATACCCATGCAACGCGGGTGACAACATTATCCACGTAAAAAGTGAGTACCATGTCTAAAGATAACTTGAGAGGGATTACCTTGATCTTAAAGTTTGCATGGAGGATTAAATCTTTCACCCTTCATCTTCTCTCACTGATACCTATAACCTCTGTAGTAAGGACACCTCTCTAAGGACACTCTGGTCTGGCTCGTCCGTGTCAATATTCGAGAGGATCGACTTCAGATGTTGTTGTCTAGGATTGAACTTTAAACCCTACTTTTAAGCTGCATTATATTTAACGAGAGGGTGTTTTGTTGCGCATCCGCTGTGTCAGTTCTTATCGTGTTCGTACAAACTCTTGCATGTAAGGACGGATGAAACACGCCGTAATAAAGCAACACCGATACAAGACCAAGCAGAAACGCGCCCCACTCAGTTATTAGCATGATCATCTTGAACACCTTATCAAAATCACTGAGGAAATACCACAACAGAACCATGATGGAGTCCTCAATGAAAGTCACCAGGTAATATGGAATTCCCCAATTTCGTGTACGCTCGCCCTCCAAAGGGAAAAAACAAAACACGTTGATGCAAATAAAGGCACATCTAAGCAATATATCTCTTAATGATCCTTCTTCGAAGTAATTATCTGGCTGTCCGCGCAACAGAAAGTATGAAAACAACAAATGGATACCAACGGCTACAAAAACAAAGTGCTGGAAATTAGAAGCAAACAGAACTAAAGTCAGTATCCTGGAAACAAGCATAAATAAGCGCCAAGAGAAATGGAAGACAGAAGCCAAGCTAAAAAGCTCCAACAGCTGGCTTTGTTCATTTCCGAGGCGAAGGAATCTACAAAAACTTAATAAACTGAAAGCGAACAGAGCCAAAGACTTAATGATGTTTATTGCCACAAACAAGTCGGCGAATGACGTCCAATCCATGGTACCTTTCTGAAAAAGAACGTACAGCTGAAGAGCGACCTAGAACAAAAGAAAACAAAAAAACAACAACATATTTAAAAAACGCTAAGTTAGGAACTATAGTAACTAAAAGCAAAGTAATTTCCCTTCACGTTGCTCTAGATCTGTTTATAGACGATAACCACTGACCACTGTTGGTGCGTACCTGGGGCGCCTCTTCAGTAAACGCTTCCACGACACCCAATGTACTCGAGTCTTGCAGCTGAGAGATATACAGGCGATACAGCTCCGTATTACGTGGATCACGGCTTTGGATTTTTCGTATAAAACGCACGGTCCTAAAGATCTGGAAGCACCTACAAGATTAATATTATGCCGAGTAAATCTCGTGTCAGTCAACATCGCGCGTCACCATAATATTTAGATTTCAATCAATGTCCTTTATTAGGGTCATGATCAGAGCGCCCCTTTAATTTCGTTATTTGATTAAAACGCATTTTGTTATGTACCTTACCTTATAAGACGACCACAACAAATAAAATGGAACGCATAGAACCAGGGTTTAACTTCTAAGTCGTTTCTCCCGAGCCACTCTGTTTTTCCTTGGTCTTTTTGATCGTCAAGGAAAAATATGGCTGACAGGGCATCAGTTATAATCAATGAGAACACAATCACAGTCAGTGTGTAGGCAGCCCATTTATAATCTCCTCTGCTGTAATGTGTTGCTGCTATCTCACAATCCATACCAACATCGGCAACAAATAACAGAGCCGTGACAGATGGGAAAAGCAGAGAAAATCGACTGCACTTTGCTCTCTCATTCCAGAATCTAGCGACCTCATCTCCTTCTGTAATGTCTGGTCGATCATCAGCGATGTTTTTGATAAGACGCCGACATGGCCGACAGCAACTGGTGATTACATTGCAAAGGTTACACTTTTCATCTTCATGTTCACTTTCACTTTCATTTATTTTACCATCCTGATGATCAGGGACGTCTGCGACAGCCATTGTGTTAGCTGTGTATAGAACATGTATACAAATATGAGCCAGGAACACTGAACGTTATCGTTTCGAACAATGAACGTTATCGTTTCGCATGGACGATTTTGAGTTAATGAAAAGCGCACTATATTTAACAATTTATTCAGTGTTTATTCACCGAAGCGGAGGTGAATAATGGTGGATATTTACCGAGCCGCCAAGCGCCGATGTAAATATACACCACTTTCACCGACACTGAGGTAAATAATTGTTTTATTATATACCACACAAGCTGAATAATCAGCCGATTGAAAATATGCTTTATTTCTAACAATAGAGCAACAAATGTACATCAGAAAATAATGAAAATCTCGCCGCGAGATGCTCTTTCGCGCACACAAAGTCACATGATAAGTCAGGTGATCAAAAGAAGTAAAACGAAGTGAAACGAGAGATTTCCAACGTTCGTGGATCTAATGATCGTCTACATTTTACAAGTGGTGTTGAAACCATGCTGCAAAACAGTAAATGTTTCATTGTTTATACTATATAGTGCTCGACAGTTCATGTAAACAAGGCATTGTACCTTTTTAGGCTTTCAAATTTGAGTTTGGATATATTTGACAACTTACCATTAATCAGGGTTTAACCAAATTTTTGCCATCTAATTTTGTATTTTTCCGAACAGCTGCCTCGTTTATGGACAAAATTTGCTCCTCGTTAGCCGAAGCGAAACGGGATGCCATTTTGTTCTTCTCCGTTTGCTCAGTTATTCCTGCCTCCGAGCTAGCCAATCAGAATGCGCGGAAAGCACTATTCACTTGTATGGTACACATGGTGTATACTAAAAGTTATTAGTAGGATTCTACAAGTATACTACTTATGTAAATTCTGGAATTCGATTGGCTGTGCCATCGTACACTATCAGTCAATCATGTGCAATGCCCGCAGTGCCTGGAGGTCGTCCACACAATGGCGACGTTTTCTCGTTTCTCCGATGTTTCGGAGGCAAATTTCAATTTCCAGGAAGACTTTCATATATAATATTTCTTTAGATATTAAGGGAGTCGCCAAGAAAAAGTAAAGGCCTATAAATTTAACTGACAAGCACTCGACTTGCAGGCACACAAGTTACGTTACTTTGGCGGTCTGCGGCGGACGTATATTGTGTGACGCAAGGAGAACTGTAGAGCTTATAGCTGCTTGTATTTGTTCAAATTGAAGTCAAGACATTTGATCTCTTCTGGGATCTGTGACACGACAGGAAAGCTTCACATCGGAAGTCCTTTTACTTACTTGCTTTAATAGCGGCATATAACGGTTTGAATTCCAGTTATTAAGCAGCAAACAGTGCGTGACATTGGAACTGTGTGCAGCAATAAAGGAATTGATTTTGGAAATCTTAGAAACACTACCAACACTGGTGTGCAGCGGTAGCCTTATTTCACAATTTGAAATGACGTCGATCGAAGTTGCGTCGTCTGCGATGTGATTGTCTGAGTATGTGTTTTTCCGAACTGCTGTCTGCGTTAGCCTGCGTCGCAGACGGAAATTTCCCCGTAAAAAACCGTAACTAGCGTCTCCGAGGCAGTCGCCATGTTTGAATTTAAAAATTTCGAAAGTCTGCGGGCATACAGTCTGCGAATCAAAACAAATGTGGTTGTTCTTATCATCGGTTACATACCTTGCATTTATATGACCTTCGAAGCTTCACTGAGGCCTCGCGACGATTTCATTTCCATTCGCGAGGCAAGATTGAAATGCAAACGAGTCACGAAATATGTGAATAATAAGAGATATAAGACCGGAAGTGGGTTGTTCCGGTCTTGCTGTGAATTTGCGGAAGTCAACGCCTTGTCCTTCTTTTCAGTTTCGCATCAAAACGGGAAGTCATAATTTAGTTAAGAAATCTTTTCGGTTCCTAAATGAATGTCAAAAATGAGCAAAAAGGTTATCAGTTGTCATTATCTCAGTCACAGTCCAAAATATGCAATGTGTGTATGACATATGTTAGAATTCTTCCGCCAATAGCAGGCAAAACCCTTTTCCTTGAGATCCCTACCTAAGGATGCAAAAATAAAATCAAAACAAAGGTAAAGAAAGTATGTAGTGGGAAACCTCGGCTGACTTTTCAGTGCTTTTTTGTTTTCACTTTCAGAGCTGGGGAAAATTGTTAAAAGTTGTCGCGCAACCCTTTCCAGTTGCATATTAACATACTAGCATATCTTATTAACCACGCACGCACGAGGGCCGTACTGCGTTAAGTCGCCCTGAGGACCGAACGCAGCCAGGTCCGTACAAAAATGACCGGGGGAGGATATTTTCTCGGTACGGTCCGGAATAAGCTAGGTTCATAAGAGATTTATTAGACGAAAAAAAAAAACTTTAGGAAAAAAGCCACGATCACGGACTGGAAAAGCATCGCAAAGTTCGTGCGCTCAATTCTGATTGGAGCCGACTAGGCATATATATACTCACGTCTGACGTTACAATCAAACCAAGTGAAGCGTTCCCCTCAAGATTAAATAATGAATTGATTATTTGAATATTGAACCCGCTAGTCGTATCAAGACTGCAATAATGAATCGATTATTTGAATATTGAACTCGCTAGACATTTCAAAAATCAAAAATCAATATTAAATTGATTTTAACCCATTAGCCGCATTCTTGGAACGACTAGTGGGTTCAACAGTTTCCAATAATCAATTCATTATTGCATTCAGTCTCGAAACGACCAGCGGGTTCAATATTCAAATAATCAATGCAATTCATTAATGTAATCTTGAGGGGTACGCTTTACTTCTAGTTTGACTGTAAACAAAACAGAGAGAAAAGAGAATTGGAAAGAAAGAGAAAAGGAAATTGTGAAAGCAACTTCTTTCAGAAACGTAAACCATAAACCGAGGAAATCTTCCAAGTGATCCTGAGTCCGGATTTATTCGGGACAGTATCGGGTCCAATGCTTAGAGAACATTAGAACTGTAATGAACCAATCAGATTTGTTGATTTTCGCTATTGGCCACGTGAACTAACTTGGTCGTTCAATCAAGATAGTACAAAAATACAATTCCGTGAAATCACCGGAAAATAAAGCAACCTGGAGGCAGAAAAAAAAATACAATTGGAAGCTATTAACGTTTGGAACCATTTACATCACTGGCAACACAGCGCATGCCCTACACAACTTGGTTCTTTACTGTGTTCACGTTGTCGTTGCTGTTGTCTTAATTGTTTGCTTTTATTCTTTTGTTTCTTTTGTTTGTTTGTTGTTCTGTTTTTCTTTCGTGTTTTTGTTGTTCACTCCATTTGTTTGTAGGGGCTATTGTAATTTACCTTGGAATGCTTCACAATTCAAAACAGACAAGCCTGAAATTAAAATTGATTTCTCTATTGAACTTTATTGGCTTCCGCTAAGAATAGTTAACACTCTAAACAGACATTCACGGGTTCTCCTCAGTAAATCAAAGAACAGTTAGTCACGAGCTTGGAGTGTACCTTTCGAAATGTCGGGTTTACATTATCTTGGTTGACAAGAAAAATTGCTAACTTGCCGTGTTTAAGCTCAAAAACCTTAAATGATATTGTACGGTAACAAACGAAAGTCTTAACCGTGCTCTGTCCTATTGTAAAGCACGCACGAAAATGGCAAGAGCACGACGAATGTGTAGATAAAACTCAACGACTCGTGATTTCTCTACAGATTCATTTGGTGCTAACGTCACCACTGAGAGCTTCATAACAGAATTAAACCATCTTGAAGGCTTTTTCGTCTGTCTAACAAAAAAAAAACAGATATTGTGATTTAGACGCACCTATGTAAAGCATCTATAATATTCCTGGCATGGAATATAAATGTATAATACAGAAACAGTGAATGAGCATGAAGCTATTTTCTTAGTTTTATGACATCAACATCAACAAGTATGTCCAGAAATATTTCTACAGCTCTACAGCACACCTTTGTGAAGCCGTAAACTGCACTCGTTTGACAGTCTTCAGGGCAAATACTTTCAGCTGGATTTATGTTAGAAAGTAATTATTTGTTTATTTGATTCTATCTGGTTTTTTGTTTTTGTTTTTTGCTTTCAGTTCTTTTTTTTTTGCATTCGCTACTTTTGCCTTCAATTCATTTTTCTCTTTACGTTCACGTTTAGATTTACGTTTTCGTTTTTGCTTTTGCTTTGACTTTTGTTGTCTTTTTTTTGCGGATTCGCTTTTGCTTTTGGTTTTGTTGTCATTTCGTCTTGTTGTACCACTCAAGATGAAAACCCAACCGATGATGGCCACGCGCGTTTTCCGTTGCTTGAACCTGGCGTCATGAGCGTTGATAGGCTCAACACGTTAAGTATACATTAACTTTTGGTTCTGTTGTCATTTCGTTTTGCTGCGCCAATCAAGANGAAAACAACAAATGGATACCAACGGCTACAAAAACAAAGTGCTGGAAATTAGAAGCAAACAGAACTAAAGTCAGTATCCTGGAAACAAGCATAAATAAGCGCCAAGAGAAATGGAAGACAGAAGCCAAGCTAAAAAGCTCCAACAGCTGGCTTTGTTCATTTCCGAGGCGAAGGAATCTACAAAAACTTAATAAACTGAAAGCGAACAGAGCCAAAGACTTAATGATGTTTATTGCCACAAACAAGTCGGCGAATGACGTCCAATCCATGGTACCTTTCTGAAGAAGAAGGTACAGCTGAAGAGCGACCTAGAACAAAAGAAGACAAAATAACAACATATTAGAACGCTTAGTTAGGAACCGTAGTAACTTAAAGCAAAGTAATTCCCCTTCACTTCTAGTCTGTTCATAAACTTGACTTTCTATATTCCCTTAAGACCGTCGCAGACTATGAAAAACCGAAATATTTATGGACAGGCAACCTCAGTCCTCGACGATACCGGTGATCACAACAGACACGTACCTGGGGCGCCTCTTCAGTAAACGCTTCCACGACACCCAGTGTACTCAAGTCTTGCAGCTGAGAGATATACAGGCGATACAACTGCGTATTATCTGGATCAGTGGTTTGGATTCCTCGTATCAAACGCACGGTCCTAAATATCTGGAAGCACCTACAAGATTAATTGTGCCAAGTAAATGCCCCATCAATAGACACTGCGCTTCACCAAACAAGGGCGGAATCCAGGGGCTATACCACAACTTTGTTATGCGTTAATAAACCATTATGTCACTCTTTTAATAACTCTAGTGCAATTATATGGTAATTCTTTTTTAAAGAAAACTAAACCATTATATTAAGGTTATAATCAATGAATATATATTTTTTGGATTTTGACTTTTCAGGTTCATGAAAGTGGTCCTTTAATTTAGTTATTTAAAAATCAAAAATTATTTTTGTACCGTACCTTATAAGACGACCACAAAAAATAAAATGGAACGCATAGAACCAGGGTTTAACTTCTAAGTCGTTTCTCCCGAGCCACTCTGTTTTTCCTTCATCTTTTTGATCGTCAAGGAAAAATATGGCTGACAGGACATCAGTTATAATCAATGAGAACACAATCACAGTCAGTGTGTAGGCAGCCCATTTGTAATCTCCTCTGCTGTAATGTGTTGCTGCGATCTCACAATCCATACCAACATCGGCAACAAATAACAGAGCAGTAACAAATGGGAAGAGCAGAGAAAATCGACTGCACTTTGCTCTCTCATTCCAGAAGTTAGCATCGTCATCTTCTTCTGTAATGTCTGGTCGATCATTAGCGATGTTTTTGTAGAGACGCCGACATGGCCAACAGCAACTGGTGATTACCTTGCAAAGGTTACACTTTTCATCTTCACGTTTACTTTCACTCTCTGCGACAGCCATTGTGTTATCTGTGTATACAAATATGAGGCAGGGATACTTAGGAACAGTAAGCCGGCAAACCTCCACAAATCTCTGTTTAATCTATATTTGTTGTGTGAAAATAAAGTAACTCCCTCCATAGTATTGTGGTCGGCGTTAGATGAGTTGTGTGACAGAAAGACTAATATAGATAAACTAGTAGATGATAACATTGATTTCCTCTGGAACCTGCAGCATTAAAAGGACCGGCAAGTTTCAAACGGGAATCGAATTTGTTTACTTGCTCATTTAAACGAAACGAAGTGAATTATCTCAAACTGGAAACATTGCGTGAGTTCAACTTCGCAGGCAAGCTGGCTGTTGTCAGCGATTATCGGCGATGAAAATACTTTATGTGAACATCATCTGCGGACGCAACGTACTCAGCTCCAGTAAGACGATTCGATCCATTTTACAGGTGGAATGGTTGAAAATTGCACCAATTCGATTTGCATTTCGTGCCGATCATACGATGTGACGTTCTAATTAGTATAAATCTACTAGCGTTCTATCACGAATGCCGTCCTCTGATTGGCTACGCTACTCACGTTCTATTCTGTGATACATAGCGAGTAGCGTAGCAGCGCGCGCAGGGGTCCGCTTGTTTGTGTTTCCGAAGTGTCTTTGAAGAGGATTTAGATGAAAGTTTTGAACGACTAGTAGATTTATACCAAATCAATTAGATTATTCGCTCTCGATTTCTATGCGTGATAGTGACAACTATCACGCGATAGAAATCTCGAGCTCATAATCTAATTGCAATGTTATATACCTTACTGCTGTCTGCGCCGCGCCATTTGACAAATTGTTAAATTAAATTTCGAAACTTTACAAGCCTATAGTAAAAGAATTAAAACAAATTTCAATTCAGTGGTTACATACCTTGTATTTATACGACCTTCAATCAGGCCTCGTGACGATTTTATTTCCAGCTGCGGGGCGCAGATTTATATTTATCGTTTATCGGATTGAAGTGCGAAAGAGTCACGAGACATGTCCTCCAATAAGACCGGAAGTGGTTTGTTCCGGTCTTACTGTGAATTTGCGGAAGTCAACGCCTTGTCCTAATTTTCAGTTTCGCATCAAAATAGGAAGTCATATTTAAGGTATGACATCATTTCTGTTTGATATTAATCTGCACAAAAAGGTCCGTAGTCCTGTAACAGCAAAATTAATCTTCGCCAGATCAATCTTACTTACAGGTAAAAGTGGTTGTTGTTATTAGTCCCGGGAGGGGAGGGGGCGGGGTACTCCTTATGTTCGGCTCTAAAGGGTAGGGTTTTTCAGCAGTTTTGGTCATAAATAGGGTATCGATTTTGTCCATTTTGTTCGTAAATAGGGAATGTTTTTGCACTCTAGTCTTGATATGGGTATGTTTTTAAGGAGAAGCTACCTTTTCATCATTATTGATCAACAAAAGCCCTTCACAATTATGTTAATGGCAATTTAGCATTGGTGTGAACTTGATTTAAGGGTCTGGTCATAAATAGGGTATCGAATTTTTTTTGTCAGGTCATAAAGGGTGGAGAAAAATGCCTTCGGTCATAAATAGGGTAAGAGTTTTGGTAAGAGGGCTGCACACCCCAACCAAATTTTCTGGGAGTCCCCCCACCCCCGGCTTATTGGTACACACCCTGATATGCCCCTCAAGCGTACCAAAGAGGTAAGATTACCGTATATACTAGATTAAGCCCTGTCTCCAATTAAACGCTTC